TATATAGTGCTTATCCGATTATCCTTTAGAGCACGCATAAGGTGTAAGTTCAAAGATCGCATCAGGAAACTGTAAAACGTGACTGCGAAAATCGCCAGAGCGCACACTTACGTGAATGCTGACGCTAATGCGAACGTTAGGTGAAAGCCACAGATGATCACGATCGAAAAAAAGCCAACTGTACTTTTTCTCAATGTTAGTGTCATTTGAAACTATCTACCAACAGGGAATAAGTAGGTACTTGTAAAAGCCCAAATTAAATTTCACCTATAACTCTGCGATTTGTACGAAGAGACTTGCCTGTATCATGTGTACTTTCAGAGGAAACTCAGACACTGAAATACCTATTAGCTCGCCCAGATTTGTTCCGTAGGCTCTAATCTATCACCAAACTATATCTATATGGTATCATCATTTTTATGGTATGGTAACGTGATCGTGTAAACTAAAAGAAAGAATAGTTTCATCATAACGAATTCGAAATGTAACTCGCTGCATTAGTCCGCAAACTATCCATTGTAACTTGAATGGCATAAACACCGCAAACAAGTCCAGAAAACACCCTTCCACTTCAAGGGACCACAATGGTTGGCTCATTGAGAATAGTGGGGTCACATCCCCACAGTCTATTTTCGGTGGTAACCACATCTACTGTGTTCAGACCCCGTTGGACATATATGTGATTCGCCAATTCAAATCAGAGGATATCGAGCTCTCTTCTATTGTACTACAAGTAAATGGTCTTCGCAATGATGAACGCAGTAGTTTTTGGCTGTGACAGGAGAGTGCAAGCGCAAAAACGATAACTTTTTCAATAAAACAACACATGAAACAGGAGTTCACAGACCTGAAAACTGAACAAACGCCTGTAGCGAAGGCTCAAACTACAGAGAAAAGCGTCAATTCATTGTAGAGAGACTAAGGGAATAGAATATAGACAAGTTATGATTTGATTTGTAAACCAGTTCACTGCCGATCGTGCAATAACAGTAACCAAACGAACTCGTTTGGGCCGTGATGCGATCGATGGTTTACTTTGCTTTGGCTGATTTCCATATGATGAATCAGGAACAAACGCTTGCTGTCTACATTTTGGATTGCAGACAGATCAATTTAAGGACTGTTGTTCCCTCTAGCCAGCCACCAGCGACGAATGAGAAGGGACAGATCATTCGACGAAAATAAACCCTGCAAGAGGTGTGAATGAAACGAAGATATACGCAGTTGACTTCATTTGCGATCGATATAGATGGTGGCGATCCGTATCCGAATAAAGTACATGACCTTGAAAACGTAAAAACAAGCGGACGAATAAGTGACAATGTCCTTGGTCAATCTAAGGGACGAGTTACATTTTTTTACCACCACCACCACCATCACATTCACAACAAGAACATTGCACGTAACAAAAAGGATCACCTACTTTGACCCATAACCAGCTGCGATGACACAATGGGAAGTAAGTGGCAGCAACTAGTCAGCTATCAATTGGGGGTGAGTGGAGGGAACCTGAGAAATTTTATGAAAGCAACAGTATGGTAAGGTCGTGCGGGTACGATCATACCACGTGACATTAACCTGGTTGTTATGTCGATGGCCTTTATTCATGAATTTCAAGGCCAGTCTGGTCACGTGAAACAAAGTACACGTTGAAATAGGGAGTGCAAGTAAGCAGACAGGAAGATATGCGGATTATAGAACTGCGGCTTGCGATATACAAACGACCTTGCAGAACCTAGTCCAAAAGTACAACTGACAACAACAGTGCTACGACGAAGTTGTTAACCCGTATCAGCCTTCCACAGTGGACAATCGACCATAGTCCTGAATGACCCGGAGAATGTGTGAACTGGGTCAGAACCACGGGAGCGACAATGTGTTTTAATTAGGAGACAATGATAAAACTCACTAGAAAATTGATCTCTAGTTGGTGCAACTGAACGATACAATCCGGTCGGGCGTCCCGTTCCAGTCAGAGACGAATCTGTCGATTGATCACCCATCGCGGGTAACGCAAAATCTAAAACTAAGCCACTATCACGTTGACTAGTCGAGTCTAAACCATGCGTGACCATGCCGAATGGGACACTGGAAACAACAGTGCCGGTAGTAGAAAGATCATACGCACCCGGACCGAGTTCATTTGAATCCGTGATGCTGGCCTCGCTGTTGTGTCCGGAATCGATTGTGACATGCCAGGGCCAACCGGATGATCCAATCAAACGATCCGGCTGCATGGACTCCGTAGCCCATAGAGTATCTGAAGCAAACACACAAACAACACAAAAAATATCAAAAGTTGTACGGTACACACAAAAACCTATTGTTACTCCAAATATCTTCCATTTTCTCGTGTTTAACTGTTTCACCCCCCTTCACTCTGTTCTGTACTCCAATCCACCTGTCCCCGTTCATTGTTATTGTAATTATTGTTGTTGCGTTGGCACCATGCTTGTCTACAAGCCGGTGATAAACATATATATATATATATATATATATATATATATATATATAT